TCTCGGTCCCTTGAGAATTCCCGACCGACTCCGCGTTCATGGGCCGAGTTCGGCCCAAGAACTCGTTCAGCCCAAGAACTCATTCGGCCCAATCTTCCCGGTATAGTTCCTTCGTCAATCGGGTTTAATTCGTGCCGATCTTGGTTTATCTTCCCGGTATAGTTTCTTCGTCAATCGGGTTTAATTCGTGCCGATCTTGGTTTGTACTGGAGAAAATCGGGGGTACGGTTTTCACCTCCAACAATTATAAACTAGTTTCTCAACCTGTGCATTTGCACATAAATATTTTTGAATCAGATTCTTATAAAGTAATTTGTACTGATTTGTATTTGTATTTATGTATTATTTGTTTTTGTAGATTTAATTTTTCTAAAATAAAAAATGTTGTTATTATATTTTAATAATATTGATTTGTATTTTACTCGAATTATATGAGTTAATTAAGTACATATTGATACAATATTAATTGTAAATTTTGTACAACCAATCTATATATCTATGAGTGTTAAAATGAGCTAACTCACCATTTTAACTGCCTCATTTCAATGATATAACAGGCATGCTAGAATTTTATCCTGTTTCGAACCATGATGGATAATCTTAGGATGCTAGATTTTCCGTATAAGGGGAACACTTTCTTATGAGTTGGGAGAAGACAATCTAATAAAGTTAAGTGTTATCTTGACAGAACCCTAGGGAATGAATAATGGCAATCTCTATTTTCTCAAACTATTTTGGAGTACCTAAAATTTTGGGACTCGGATCATCGGCCTGTTTTGGCAATGATACAAGTAGACACTCAAAGAAAGAAAAAATCAATTTAGGTTCAACGAAAGATGGTTGAAAAAACCGGGATTCAAATAGGCAGATATTTTTGGTTGGGGCTCTTTTGATGAAATTCCACGTCGAAATTTTCATCAAAAAAATAGCTGATTTCCGTATAAACATCTCTAATTAAAAAAATCTCTCCCGACTAACTCAGCAAAGATGATCGAGGAATTAAAAAACCAACTTGATGCGGCTTAAAATGATGAGAACATGATATTCGAAGAGATAAAATAGATCAGAAGGAAACTTTGCACACCATTCCGTGAGGAATTTTTTTTTGGCAAAAAAAAGTCATGAGCAATGGCATAAGCATGGCGATAAAAGTGCCAAAAATTTTTTCATGCCTTATCTGCCTACTAAATGGAGCAGAGGAAGAAAAACATATCACCGGTCTGAAAATTTTGCAGGCGAACCCGCCGGTCTTGCATCATCTATTTGCCGATGAAAGTCTTTTTCTGTAAAGCAGACATCTGGTAAGGGGGCTGAGATCTTAAGATTATCAATTCTTATGGATCAGCATCGGGATAAGAACTGATGAACCTGAAATCATCCATCATATTTGGGATTAGAGTGGATCAGAACATAAATCAATGTATAAAAATGCTATCGGATTAACATCAGAAGCTAGGTGGTATGGAAATGTACCTGAGGCTTCCAGAACAAATTTGTAGATCAGAAAAGAAAGTTTTTTTTTCCATGACCATCTCAGCAATCAGGTCAACAATTGGTCTGCATGACTTCTTTTCAAAGGTGAAAAAGAAATTCAAATAAAATTGGTAGCACAAACTTTACCAACATACATTATGTCATGTTTCTTAGTTCCTAAAGGTGTTATTAACAGAATATGGAATGCCATTGCTAATTTTTGGTGGAGTTCCAAGCAAAACAGCAGTAGAATACACTAGATTGCTTGGGACAAAATTTGTATTCTCCAAGTTTTGGGAGGCTTAGGCTTTCGAGATTTACATGATTTTAGCCTAGCTCTTCTCGCAAAATAATAATGGTGGCTTATCCAATATCCCTTATCTCTTCTAGTTCGGATTCTAAGAGGTAAATATTACAGACAATCTGATCCTTTAGAGGAATGAAAAGTCTATTCACCATCTTTATGGGTGGTGGAATATTATGGCTGCAAGACCAGCTCTGAAAATGGGCTTAAGAAAAACAATCAAGTCAGGACTTAATACTAGAGTTTAGAGGAAACCATGGATCTCGGACACTTGGGCTCGTCTGGCAAGAGCGGCTCCACAGGTTGGAATTCAAACTCCGAAGCTGTTGGTATATGATATATTCATAATTTGTCATATTTAGGATTGCATTTTTGTCCAAAGATTGAGTCTCATGCATACATTTAGCTAGTTTTGTTAGAGTTTGTCCTTGGTTCTAGCTTTGTCTAGGATTTGCATTAAGTCCTAGAGTGTCCTGTATTTTTGAAGTGTTCTCAGGTCATTTGGAGACTTTTTGGAGCAACTTGGAGCTGGCATCATGGAGGAACCCTGGCCTGTGTACAGCAACTCGGACAGATGGTTTGGTGCAGACAAAACCCTCACTTTGATCGCGTGGGACGAAGGACTTGCAATGCGACTCAACCTCCGGTGTCTTCATCGAGAATCAAGAGGATTACGTCTAGTTTCTGGAACACTTGAGATCGTCCCGTTTGGAGATGTGAGCAGAAAGTTAGGCTCTGTGTGAGCCAAAACTCGCACAACCAAAAATTTGTTAAGGAAAACTTAAGGGATCCGAAATTTCTAGGGTTTATCGCAAGAACAGTAAGATCAAAAGAAGGTTTTTGCTGGAAAAGTGTTTAGGTCTTTATTGCTCTCGAGTTGTGAAAAGTTACAGAATGAATTGTGTAAATCTCTTATTTATACTAACTCCTTAAACTGCCTAGCCGAGAATCTCGAGAGAGATTTTAGGAATATTTCCTTATCACTTCGTGCGGCTACCGCCTCAAGGCATCGCCTAGGATTTTTATGGGCTTTCTCCCTTCAAGACTTCGGTTCGGCCCATCTTGGAAGGATCGGCTCGGCCCACTTGCGACGAATAACGGCTCGCCCAATCATGACAGGTAACGGCTCGGTCCTCTCTCCTTCTCTCACGGCTCGGCCCATCTTCACTTATGTACGGCCCGACCCATTTGACTATCTGTTATGCAGCTCGGTCCACTCAATTCCCCCTCACAGCTCGGCCCAAACTACACCCAAAGTCATGGGACGGCTCGGCCCAACTCTCCTTTCTTTCATGGATTCAGCCTACTCTCGTACTTCTTCACTATAGCTCGCCTCTCCCGAACACTTAGTCGTTATGAAGATGGTTTTGTCCGCTTGGGGTGAAACCGACCCCAACAGTTAGCCCCCCAGCTCGTTAATTTCGGAGACTAGAGTGACGAGGTTCATCATTCCTGGCCATGGGATAAACCATCGAGTCAAGCCATCGCGAAACGATCACGGGTGAGGCGTTATGGGAACAAAAGTGTCGAGCGTTTCCTGAAGATGCCGAGGCGTTTTCTAAGGGTGCCAAGCCGACGTGGCGTTTTGTTCAATAACACCGAGTCGTGGTTTATGGCAACGACGAGGCGATTATGCTTGATGATGCCGAGTTTTTTTGGCAAAGGGTAGTAGCGAGCCGTTTTTGGCGAGGTTGTGTGAAGGAAAGTGCCAAGCCGTTTTGTTAGTGACGAGGCGTTTTTTTGAAAAGATGCCGAGCCGTGATTTCAAGTTAACGACGAGGCATTCATGATGATAATGCCGAGCCGTGATTCAAGTTAACGACGAGGCGTTCGTGATGATAATGCTGAGCCGTGATTTAAGTTAACGACGAGGCGTTCATGATGATAATGCCGAACCGTGATTCAAGTTAACGACGAGGCGTTCGTGATGATAATGCCGAGCCGTGATTCAAGTTAACGACGAGGCGTTCGTGATGATAATGTCGAGCCGTGATTCAAGTTAACGACGAGGCGTTCATGATGATAATGCCGAGCCGTGATTCAAGTTAACGACGAGGCGTTTGTGATGATAATGCCGAGCTGTGATTCAAGTTAACGACGAGGCGTTCATGATGATAATGCCGATCCGTGATTCAAGTTAACGACGAGATGTTCTTATGAAATCGTCGAGCCGTATCGACAAAGCACAGCTCGGTTCACACAGTTTGAGACATTCTCAGATAACCATAGCTGTGTCGCGGGCTCGGTTTACCTGGACGGAGTGACTGTTAGTTCTTTCTAAGACATCTTGAGTGTTGGCATATATAACGGACGCGCCGAAGAGTTATGCATTCGCCGCGGACTTCACGCGCCCCTTTTTGAACACTTTTGCGTCATCCCGAGGTCCACGCGGATTTCACGCGCTTCGGTTATCCTATAAATGGGTGAGCTCCTTCATTCCTTCTCATAATCTTCAGATCCACTCGTTTTCACTAAAAGGTAGCTCTCCCTTCTCTCTTTTTTCTCTCTCTAGTTTATTTATTTTCCGGCTAGGATTCCGAGGTCATCGCCGTCTCAGATCTTTTTCCGTCGAAAGTTCACCGCGTAGCATTGTGTTTTCCGTACCAGCTGTAGATCATGTCGAACCGTTCTGATGATTCGCTAGATTCGCTCTTTAATTACGAGCCGAGCCGTGTAGATGCCGAGGCGAGAGATGTAACCGGATCCTCCGAGGCGTCTGTCTCGCCGAGCCTTTCCAACCGTTCGTCCGGAAGCAACGAGACATCGAATCGCTCCAGCCTGTCAGGGGCTCGCTCTACAGATAACGAGCCATCGGTTTCGACAAGCCTCCCTAGGGTCTCACTTATAACGAAGATGCTGATCATGCCACAGTGAAAGCCGAGGAGGAAGCTTTTCCTTTTGATCTGTTCGAGGCGAAGCGTGAATTAGAACGTCTCATGGCGTCCCGAGGTACTTCTTCATCTAGGCGAGGGAAACGAGTGAAAAGACAAAAACCTGACCCGCCCGGCACTACGCTCTCCTCCCCTGACTCACTAGAGGCATTGAGATGTCGTTTCGAGGCGGTAGAATTTGTCCTTCCAGAGAAGAACGACCGGGCCGCAAACCTCCTGAGAATCACTTCACTCTGTACGAGGCGTTCTTTGAGCTTTGTTTTCTCTAGTTCCCGATCCCCGGAGTTATCCTTGAGTACCTCTGAAAACATGGGATCTCGATCGGGCAGATCATGCCGAGGGATTTTCGGCACATGATCGGCATTCTGGTTCGAAGTTTTGAATGCGGGCTCGATATTGAACTGAATCACCTGATAAACTTGTTGGAGATCAGAAAAGCTCCGAAGGGAGACAGATTTTATATCTCCAACAAGTCAAACCGCCGGATCATAGGTGGTTTTCCAAGCAAGGATCAGTTTTGGACCAAGCGCTTCTTCTATGTCTTGGTGAACGAGGCGTCAGTCGGCGAGGATTACGTTCAAAAAACCAAGACCGCTTGGGGACCACTTGGTAGCCGATCCAAAGCCTTGCCTCGGCTCAGAACTATTTTCGTATAATCTTCCCTTACTGAATCTTTTTTGTGTTGTTTTTGCAGTTCGGAACATTCTTCCCCCGATTCCCGACGACCTCTTTGTTGTTCCAGATTCTCTTGCGGCTCGAAGAGTTAATTGGAGGAAGCATTTTTCATTCGAGAGAGTGGAAAGAGCACGAGCCATTCTTGCGGGAGTTCCTGTTAGCTCTTCGTCTTCAAATTCTTCACTAGACACAAGGGAGAAAATGGTGATCATTACCCTTAGAGATAAGAAAAGGCGCGAAGAAGAAGAAGCTGCGAGACGAGCCGCGGAGGCGGCTCAAGCAGAGACCGAGGCTGTCCCTCAGAATGATCCGCCGAGCCGTGAAGGTGAAGGCACGGTCCGAGCCGCGGAGGCAAACATTACCGAGGCGACCGAGAAAGAAGCAGCCCCCGAGGTGGAACCGGGCGAGATTATTCCCGAGGCGCCCAAAGATGACTCTGCGGCGCAGAGTAAAACTCCTTCAAACTCAGCTATTCTGGCTCTTCCGAAGTCATCGAGGCCCCCGACTTCGGTTTTACAGAAGCATGATTCCAGCCGAAAACGTTCGGCTGCTGATAAGGGGAAGGGCGTTGCTATCCAAAAGGACAAGCCGTCCAAGAAGAAGCGCAAGCAGGCTCCCGGTGATCCCGCTGCACGCAAACTGGTCGTCGACGACCCCAACGCTTTGGCAATAATGTTCGCACGTGTTAACAACGCGAACACGCGTCTTCCTCCTCTTGAGAAGCTGAGGAGACCGAGGTCGTATGGCGCGATGGCACAGCGCGGTACCAACGTATGTTCTGTTTGCTCTCCTTATTTTATCGAATTCTCACTAAGTGTTTAACGCGCATTATCCTTTGCAGTTTGTAAAGGCCATCAACGAGCTGATAGCTGAATACGAGGCAGACCTGTCTAAGGTCGAACGTCGCCTGGACGAGGCTCGGAACAAGACCGCGGCGGCGAAGGGGAAGCTTGACGAGGCGATGACCCGGGTGTCGAGGCTGGAAGAGGAGAAGATAGTTCTTCGGGCCGATATCGACAAGTTTTCTGCCTCGGTCATAAGCCTCGAGGAGGCTAGGAGAGCCAAAAGCACCGAGGTGGCGTTGCTTAAAAGGCGTATCGAGGCCAAGGATGCCTTGTTTAACGCCAAGGTCAAGCGTGCGAAAAAGGAAGCGAGGCGAGAGCTGACGGCTAAGTTTCAGGAGCGCCTCGCCAAGGTGGAAGAAGGTTTGGCCAAGCTCGAGAAGGCCAAAATCGACGAGAATGAGCTTGGGAAAATCAAGGGCAACCTTGCGATGATTGCCGATCTGAAGAAACCAGACGCCCCAACGCTCGATGATGAGGAGGCGAAGCTAAAGAGCTGGGAGAGCGAATACGCCGACGACGAGGCGTATGAGCGCATTGCCTCTGAGATCCAAGGTGAGCTGGTCTTCTCGCCCGTATCGCCGGACTTTGTAGACACCAGCCTTGGTAACGAGCCGCTGGAAGAGACAGCGGCCAACTTGGGCATCGTAGATCCGACCGGATCGAATGCGGGTATGCCGGCCCTCTCAAACCTCCTTGCCGAGCGTGAAACGCAGTCCGCGGCTTGATCCTCTCCGCTTTCCCCTATCTTTCATCTCATATGTCTTTGTACTTAAAATTTGGATGATTTTATCTGTTTCTCGAACTTCTTGTGTAACCGATGCCTGGATGGCTTTATCCACCTGACTGTTATATTTGGATGATTTTGCTTTCGGTTATAATTATCTTTTCCTTAGTCGTTTTTGGATTTGATGTGTTTATCCTCGACGACCTGTGAAATTTTTACGAAAAATTTTTGTTTGGAAAGAATTGTCGTTGATTGGCGTATCGAGCTGTGTTGAGAATGATCTCGACTGCTTTCCTGGCCGGACTGTTTACGATATAGATCGATATAAGACCGGGATTAGGATTCTGTTTAAGTCTAGATCCCGAGCTGGGAGTTGATTCGTGGAGCGTCTCCATTTTAGGTGGCGCTGAGGCGTGTTTTAGCGATAATGTCGAGGCAAGTTTCATTGGAAACGCCAAGCAGTGTTTAACGACGAGGCGTTTTTGTTATATGATGTCGAGCCGTGTGAATGACGAGGCGTTTTGTTTTTTATTAACCAAAAATGATTTCGGGATTCTTATTGAGATTTGTCCATTCTATCACTGAGAGAGGTCCTCATTGAGGTGAGCTGTTTTAGGTTGTTTGAAGGAAGAATCTCCGACTAACGCCGAAGTATTTTTCAAGTAAGTTATGTGTTTTCTCGTTGACGAGGCCAAAGTTCAAGAGGATATAGTATTCTCTTTGGAATATGACTATACCGGCATTCCCGAGAGGGTGAGTATGTTTTGCGGGGTTTAGTGATAATACTTCTTCAGGTGCATTGCATTCCATGATCTTGGAATTGCTTCGTCAGCTACCGTCGCAAGTTCGTAAACTCATGGGCGAACTACTTTTATAATCTTGTAAGGATCTTCCCAATTCGCTCCGAGCTTTCTTGCATTTTTCTCGGCAGTGTTTTGGAAAACTTTTCGAAGCACTCCTTCGAGTTCGTCTGCCCATCGTCCTTTCTTTGCGTCGAGCCTTTTTTTAAGATCGTCTAGGATCGTCTTGTTGGCTGCTTCGGCTTGTCCATTCCCTTGAGGGTATCTTGGCGTAGATTTTTTCAGACGGATTTTCCATTTCTTGTAGAAAGCTTCAAAGCGCGTCGAGATGAACTGGGATCCGTTATCGGTGACTATCTCGTAGGGGACCCTGTGTCTGCAGATGATATTTTTCCAGACGAAGTGTTCGACTTAAACATCCTTTATACTTGCGTAGGAATCGGCCTCGACCCATTTGGAAAAATAATCCGTGAGGATGAGCAGAAAGCGTTTCTGCTTCGATCGATGTAGAGGTCCGACTCTGTCCATCGACCATCTCATGAAAGGATAAGGTGACGAGATTGATGACAGCAGCTCGGTAGGTTGATGAATTGTTGGCGCGTGGCGTTGACACTTCTCGCACTTCGCCGTAAATTTCTCACAGTCCTTGACCATCATAGGTCAGAAGTAACTGTGCCGTTTTATCTTGATCGCGAGCGACCTTCCGCTAGAATGGTTTCCGCACGCGTCGCTATGTACTTCGTGCATGATCTTTCTTGCCTCTGGTCCTTCGACGCATGTCATGAGAGGTCCTGAAAATCTCCATTTAAACACCTCGCCGTCGACGAGGACATACCGCGCGGCCTGAGCTTTTAATTTGCGGGCTTCCCACTTATCGGTTGGAACTTCTCCATCGGCGATATATACTTGGATGGCTCCGAGCCACTCTTTGTCGCAGTCGTACTCCAGCTTGGCTGGCAAGGCGTCTTCGTCCATAGCGATGGCTTCGTCGTTCTCTGGTTCTTGTTCGGGAGGATTTATCAGCCGAACTCCTTCTACCTCTTCGATGCTAGGACGTTCGATGAATTCAACTGGAATCGTCCGTCGGAGATCCAGGTCTGAGGTCGACGCAAGTGCTGCCAAGGCGTCAGCCAAGGTGTTTTCTCCTCGGGGTATTCGTGTGAGTTCGAACTCGTCAAACTTCTGCACCAACTCTCGGACCACCTTGAGGTAAGCTCCCATTCGTCCATCCTTCGCCTCGTATTTTCCGTTGAATTGGCATGCTAAGAGCTGTGAATCGCAAAAAGTTCTTATCTTTCGAACTCCAATTCCCTGCGCTAGTCGTATGCCGGCGATCAGTGCTTCGTATTCTGCTTCGTTGTTCGAGGCGTGGAAGTTCAGGCGAAAAGACTGCTCCAATATCTCTCCTGTGGGAGAGGTGAGGCGGATTCCTATTCCTGAGCCGTGTTTAGATGACGAGCCGTCGACGTGCAGCATCCATACTTCGTCTGGGGTTGGTTCGTTCGTCGCTTCGGCCGGAATTTCGATGAGAAAATCTACGAGCACCTGTGATTTTGCAGACGACATGTTCTGATACTCGATGTCCTACTCGCTCAACTCTATGGCCCATTTGGCGAGTCGTCCGGATTGGCTCGGGCTATGCAGGATAGAGCGCAGCGGAAGTGTAGCGAGCACAACAATCGAATGTGATTGAAAATACGGACGCAGCTTGCAAGCCGAGACTACGATGGCTAGGGCAACTTTCTCGATCTGGGAGTAACGGGTCTCGGCGTCGGTCAATGTCTGGCTGACGTAGAAAATGGATTTTTGTTCAGATCGCTCTTCTCTTATAAGCACCCCACTCACGGCTGTAGCAGATACGGCGATGTAGAGGAAGAGAGGCTCTCCTTCAACTGGTTTCGCCAAGATCGGCGGGCTCGCCAGATAATTCTTCAATTCGTGGAAAGCTGTTTCGCATGGCTTGTCCCACTCGAACTTCTTGTTTCCCCGAAGGGTGTCGTAGAAAGGCAGGCACTTGTCGGTGGAACGAGAAATAAACCTATTTAGCGCAGCAACCCTTCTCGTGAGCCTTTGCACTTCTCGCTTCGTCCTTGGAGAGGGCATCTCGATCAATGCTTTGATCTGCTTGGGATTTGCTTCAATGCCTCGGTGAGTTACTAGATAGCCAAGGAACTCTCCCGAGGTGACCGCGAACCTACATTTCGCCGGGTTTAGCTTCATGTTGTGTTTGTTCAACTGCTCGAAGCATTCTCGTAGATGCGCGATATGGTCTTTCTCTTCAAGTGATTTGACTAACATATCATCGATGTATGCCTCCATGGTTTTTCTGAGCTGAGCCGCGAACATTTTATTGACGAGCCGTTGATATGTTGCTCCTGCGTTCTTGAGTCCGAACGGCATGACTTGGTAGCAGTATATCCCGCGATCAGTTATGAATGCAGTTTTTTCCCGATCATCAGGATGCATCAGGATCTGGTTGTAGCCAGAGAACGCGTCCATAAATGTTAACAGCATATTTCTCGCAGTGGCTTCGACGAGCCAGTCGATGTGCGGCAGAGGGAAACTGCCTTTTGGGCACGCCTTGTTGAGGTCAGTGAAATCTTCACAGACCCGCCACTTGTCGTTCTTCTTCTTCTCAACCACTGGATTCGCAAGCCAGTCTAGATATTTGGCCTCGGCGATTGACCCTACTTTGAGCAATCTCTCTACTTCGTCGTTAACTGCTTTACCTCGTTCGGGTCCGAGCTTCCTTCTTTTTTGCTTGATTGGTTTGAAGGTTGGGTCCACGTTCAGCTCGTGACAGGTCACGTCGATGCTTATACCCGGCATATCTTCCGCTGTCCAGGCGAAAGTGTTGATGTTCTCTTTGAGGAGGGAAAGAAGTTTGATTCTCAGAGGCTCTTCTAGTTTTGCTCCAATTTCGACGCATCGTTCTGGACGCGCCTCATCTATGCACACCAAATCCACCGCATCACATATCGGCTCGGCGCATGTTTTGCGGCTTTCCGCGATCTGTAATTGCTATAAAAGTTTCGAGAAGTCATTCGCAGGCTCTCGGTCAGTCTTCATCTTTTTGCGATCTACGTCAGCTCGTGCGTCGGTGACGGGGTTTCTCAGCTTGTGCTCCGCTAAGCAGCACATTCACGACTCCTTCTGATTTCCCCATATCGTTTTGATACCTGCTGGAGTTGGGAATTTGAGGCAGAGATGATAGGTAGAAGGGACCGCCCTCATCGCGTTGATCCATGGAGTTCCATAATCACATTGTAGATTGCTGGGTGATCGGTGACGCAGAATTTGACGACCCTAGTGACTCCGCCAGCTACCACAGGGAGCCCAATTGTTCCTATAGTCATCGTTGTTTCTCCTGAAAATCCGGTTAGAGGTTTGGAGATCGCTATCACCTCGGAGAGATCAATTCCCATCCTTCTGAGTGTCTCTCTGATAATGACGTTCACCGAGCTCCCAGTATCGATGAGCACCCTCGCTACATCGTGATCCCTGATTGTTAATTCAATCACCAGCGGATCGTTGTGGGGTCTATCGATTCCTGCTGTTTCCTCCTCGGCGAAGGAGATCACTGTATTAGGGATGTCGGTTGGTTCTGTCCAATTCTCCTTCGCTTCGGCTCGGCGCTGGTAAGCTTTGATGGAGGATACCGTGTCTTGGTAATATTGAGATCCACCCATGATCATGTTGATCCTTTGCCTCGGCTCGGGTCGCTCTTCGGGTTCGCCTCTCCTATCGTGCTTGGTGTTATTGCCCCGTCGGGGAGGATTTGCGGGTTCTGCCATGCCGCTCGGCTTGGCTCCTTCTTTTGGTTCATTAGGGACGAAGTCTTTGAAGTTAACCGCATTCTAGAGCTCTTCTGCCGCCATCTTAGCTGCGAGTTTTGCTCCTAGAGTTCGGCATTGTGCCGTTGAATGCCCGTAGGTCTAGTGATACTCGCAGAATGCCTTTTCGTCGTAGTTGGTGGGCTTTCTTACCCAAGTGTTGTTGTGTGGCTCTCCTCTTCCGCGTCCGGTGCCTACTTGGTAGTTGTGGGCACCTCCGCTTCTAGGTTCTTCTGAGCTCTGCGTTGTTGCGTTGTTTGATGGATTGCCTTTCTTCGAAGGGCGCGTCAAAATCGAGCTTCGGATTGCTGCTTTCGGTGCTTTGTACTGCTCGTCCAGATTCTTCATCTCCTCCTCGTTTACAACAA